ATCTAATTAATTTAAAATTTGACTCGAATGTTATAAGTGATATGTGCATAAAATTAATAACTAATGTAAAAATTGATATAAATTATAACATGTAAATTAATAAAAAAACTCAAAAAATTTTAAACTTTTGCTACCCTAACATAAATTTTTGTGTCCATCTTCATTTCTGCCTCATACATGACGAACATCTTAGTTTTCACTGTTGCTTTTCTAGATGAGAATTTTTGACTTGATTTCAACCCTTTAATGTACACAAAATTTCCAGGAATTTTTCTTATTAAATTTTGCTAGTGCAATCGGCCTAAAAGAAATAAGTTAGAGCTCATTTCTTGTAAATTATTAGGGGAAGACTTCAAAGTGTTAGTGGAAGACTTTGTCTAACTTGCTCTTTCTCCCAAAATGCATTATTATTGTCAGTTCTCTTATGATAAAGTCACTTTTCTATTATACCGATTTGGAAGGGAAACGCAATTTGACTGGTGTAAGTGTATGTTTCCTCGCATCTCCACTATAATTGAAGTTTTCTTCTCTTTTCTTGGGTTCCTACTTGTAGATGAAGTTGACTCCAAGTTAAGTTCTTCATTTATGATTTGTGAAAGTTGATAGCTGAGTTTTTAACCAAAATTTAATCTAATTTAAAATGGTTAAATATCTTTTTTGGTCCCTATACTATTGAAAAAAAGCTCCTTTTTGGTCTTTATACTGAAAAATCTCATTTTTTGGTCCTTAAAGTTTAAAATCTGACCCTTTTTTGATCCCTCTGTTAAATTTTTATTGAGCTGTCACATTAATTAATGGAATTACTGAGTATTTTTTATATCAATGATATTATAAATGATGTGAAAATTATGTGGATAAAATTATAAATCCATGCAAGTATTTCATTTAAAAATTTTGGGTCACATGTACAAATTAAAAATTTTACTTCTTAATTATGAATTAAATGAATTTAAACATAATTAATTTTAATTTCTTCATCTTCTTCTTTCTCCTCATCCTTATCCTCGTCCTCACCCTCATCCTTGAGCATCATAATGTCACTGTTTATCTTCACCATCCTCTTCATCATGTTCACCATCCTCTTTGCCATCCTTTTCTCCATCCTCTTCATCATCCTGGGTTCCTCGCATAACCCAATTGCTGGGTTCCTCGAGGTTCCTCGAAGAACCTAGATTCTAGGTTCCACAAAGAACCTAGATTCTGGGTTCCACAAAGAACCCAGTTTTTGGGTTCCTCGAAGAACCCAATTTCTAGGTTTCTCGCAAAACCCGAGTTTTGGGTTCATTATGAAACTCAAATCGTGTTTGATATTTGAGTTTGAAACTATAGGTGATAGATTTATGTTGTTGTGTTTATGTTGCTATGAACTTCATAACTTGATTCATTCATGACCTAAATTCAACAGGAAGAAAGGGTTGAGAATCTGAAATTAGGAAAAGAGTAAAGAGAAGGATTTGTTTTGCAGAGAAGTTAGGGTTTATCAATGAAAATATTCCTATGGATTCTTAATTATATCTTGACTAATCTCACATATAAATGGTTGATTATGAACGAAGAATTTTGAAAGAAAGAAGAGGATTTTTGGAGAGGGAATTGAAAAAAAAAAGGGGAGAATTTAGGGTTTTTTTTTTTCCCGCACGTAGAAAGTGACATGGAGGGGTGTTATTAAGTCCATATAAGCACCTTTACACGGTGGAATATCCACATCAGATGTTCCCATTAAGATATCGTGCCATGTGAGTAAAAATTAACAAA